GTGAATTCTAATGCGTACCACTTCGGTGTCGTTTATTCGAGCGTCTGTCACACATACTGTTACACAACTACTGAATTCTCCGGCTGTCACACCCAGTTACAAATAATGTTGTACAGATCCTTTGTCGTATTCGCCACATTTCCGGGGCAAGGTTTACAACCTGCCAGGACGCTGGGCAACGGGGGATCGCATGTTCGAGGACGCCCACGGACGAACCACCACCATTCACACTGGGCTCATGCGGCCAGCAGGCAGCGTGGGTCTCAACGGCTGGGCTAACGCAACAGGCTCCTGCAGCAGGCATGCAACCTACCCTGGCTCTGTCCACCGGCCCCCTTCAGGCACTGGCGGTGTGATGCGCCACAGCAACTACCGGACACCGGGCTTAACTACCACAAGTCACGAAGCCGAGAGCGCTTTCCCCAAGGTTATATCTAGCTAGTACTACCGCGCTTGGACTGCTTGCGCAGGCAGATGTGGCCGACAGTTTTTGGATATCGCGCATCGCCTGTTTATGTGGCCGTTCGGGCCGGCAGTTTCGTGGACCTCGCGCATCGACTGCTTATGAGGCCGTTGGGCCGGCAGTTTTCGTGGAATTGCGCATCGCCTGTTTATGTGGCCGTTCGGGCCGGCAGTTTTCGTGGACCTCGCGCATCAACTGCTTATGAGGCCGTTTGGGCCAGGCAGTTTTCGTGGAATTGCGCATCGCCTGTTATGTGGCCGTTTGGGCCAGGCAGTTTTCGTGGAATGCGCATCGCCTGTTATGTGGCCGTTTGGGCCAGGCAGTTTTCGTGGAATTCGCGCATCGCCTGTTATGTGGCCGTTTGGGCCAGGCAGTTTTCGTGGACCTGCGCATCGCCTGTTATGTGGCCGTTTGGGCCAGGCAGTTTTCGTGGAATTGCGCATCGCCTGTTATGTGGCCGTTTGGGCCAGGCAGTTTTCGTGGAATTGCGCATCGCCTGTTGTGAGGCCGTTGGGCCGGCAGTTTCGTGGAACTGCGCATCGACTGCTTATGTGGCCGTTCGGGCCGGCAGTTTCGTGGACCTCGCGCATCAACTGCTTATGAGGCCGTTTGGGCCAGGCAGTTTTCGTGGAATGCGCATCGCCTGTTATGTGGCCGTTTGGGCCAGGCAGTTTTCGTGGAATGCGCATCGCCTGTTATGTGGCCGTTTGGGCCAGGCAGTTTTCGTGGAATTGCGCATCGCCTGTTATGTGGCCGTTTGGGCCAGGCAGTTTTGTGGAATTGCGCATCGCCTGTTATGTGGCCGTTTGGGCCAGGCAGTTTTCGTGGAATTGCGCATCGCCTGTTATGTGGCCGTTTGGGCCAGGCAGTTTTCGTGGAATTGCGCATCGCCTGTTATGTGGCCGTTTGGGCCAGGCAGTTTTCGTGGAATTGCGCATCGCCTGTTATGTGGCCGTTTGGGCCAGGCAGTTTTCGTGGAATTGCGCATCGCCTGTTATGTGGCCGTTTGGGCCAGGCAGTTTTCGTGGAATTGCGCATCGCCTGTTATGTGGCCGTTTGGGCCAGGCAGTTTTCGTGGAATTGCGCATCGCCTGTTATGTGGCCGTTTGGGCCAGGCAGTTTTCGTGGAATTGCGCATCGCCTGTTATGTGGCCGTTTGGGCCAGGCAGTTTTTCGTGGAATGCGCATCGCCTGTTATGTGGCCGTTTGGGCCAGGCAGTTTTCGTGGAATTGCGCATCGCCTGTGTATGTGGCCGTTTGGGCCAGGCAGTTTTCGTGGAATTGCGCATCGCCTGTTATGTGGCCGTTTGGGCCAGGCAGTTTTCTTGGAACTGCGCATAGACTGTTATGTGGCCGCATGGGCCGGGCAGTTTTTTGGACCTCGCGCATAGACTGCTTAGGCGGCCGCATGGGCCGGGCAGTTTTTTGGATCTCGCGCATCAATTGCTTAAGGTTACTAACGGTTCCGATATTTTTCTCCCCTGCTTGGAGCCGGTAAAGACCGACAGCCGACAGCTATAGGCTGGAGGGGCCAGTAACATCCCACACAAGCTGCTTACGAGGCCGGATGTGGCCAACAATTTTGGACACTCGCTGTGCTTAGGCTGGATGTGGCCAGAAGTCTCTTGTGAGAAGAGCTCTAATACTGCCCGTCTTCACTGTGGTTATGGCCGGATGTGGCTCGCAGTTGTGATTACTTTGGCAGTCGACAGTGACGCACCCCAACCCCGCAAAGGGTACATACTCACGTGACTGCGGTAGGGTAAAGAGGCTACAAGACCCATTAAATCGGTCTGTCGTGCCCTACTGTGTGGGCAGGCTTAAATCACCTTTGGTGCTAAAGCTGCGCGGGTATGCAGAAACCCAATTTCCTTCCTTGCCCCCACTTCACATCAGCTACCCAACCATCCAACATGAGTGCCCACTCCGGGCAAGCACAAGAAGACAGCGCACTGGTTCCATACTCCCGCTTCATTACACCAGTTTTCCCCGATACATCCCGACTTCGCCTTCGTGCTTTGCGTACCTTGCCGCCGCGTCTCTAGATCTTAACACACTACATATACAAGATCTTCCTGGGTGCCCAGCGAACAGGACATGGCTACTAATTCATTGCCATTCAAGGGAACCTGTTCATGCGCGTTTGCAGACACGCGTTCGTCTACTAAACGATCTTGTCCCGCTATTCAATGAAAGAAGAGGCTTACTTAAGAAGCATTGGCCCCTTTTCCCGTCTCCTGGCCGGCGGCCTGCAACAACCAGCGCGCCCGGCCGCACATCGGCCGTCATACAGCTTCGACCACTGTGGTCGTCACCAAACAGTGCATCTTCGTCGGGCGCGATCTTATGTACGTAGCAATGGCTCAATACCATCGCAATCGGCAACAAGACCAAATCTACAGTTACTCTTTGGCTCAAAATATAGCGATCCCTCAGCAGCACTGATTATACCAGCGCGTCAAACGCAAGTTTATCCTACGGATGCCGGACCGGCCTCGAGTCGGCCGACACAAGTGCCCCATAAGAGGCGTGACACGGCAAGCCAGTGCCCGCAACCAAGGTGTCCGCATTTCCCCGGAGAGAACACCGGTACCGACAGGCCCTGAACAAGTGCACACCCGGCGCGTGGATGACATGAGAGTTGTCCCGACATTGAAGGTAAGGAGGGCCGGGACGAGCTTGCCGCGCGCAGACAAACCTAAGTCCAACCAGCCATCACAGATGAGGGCCCGGTTGAAAGCCAAAACAGCATGTTGGAAGTTATTTATGCAGTCCCGCCTGGTCATGGCCTGGGTACTGTTCGGTTTCCGCTGTTGTGCGAAGCACCCTACAGCCTGGCCAACCGTCGGCCTAACAGCAGACTGAATTTTGTGATCACCGAACTGGTCGCCACTGGGGCGGGACCATGAGTCGACTGCCAACTGCGCTGCGTATTGCCCCTCGGTTTTGTTCCTAAAGAAGGCCACTCCCAAATTCCGCCTAATTTCTGATGCACGCTATGTTATATTATCGAACACCGTGTGGTGCCGAGCTACAGGTATAAGTCCCGTGGGATGCTTGTGGGAAGTGCCACAACCACACGGCTATCTGCCCACCGTGTCTCAGAAGTCCGGCTATCAAGGTTGTGCAGTGCCCAGTGGGCTGGCACCAGCCTGTTGGGGTTTTTTCGCACACCAAGGTGCGGGCGCCCTACCAGCGGTGAGAGCGGGTTCTCACCGACTTGGTGTTGACACCATCAACGGCTCAATTCGTCCCGAAAGGATGAGACTCGCAGTGCAGAGGATGGTGGAACCTGCGCAGCGTTCAAACAGCTGTACTCCCTACTGGGTGCATGAGATCGCGGACCTTTCGGGCATGTCGCTATTGCTGCCCCAATGTGGTCCACAGTTTTACCGGTCCAGGTCTGGTCCTACCGCCAGCCATGAGCTGTCGGAGTCGCCAAATATTGCACGTTTCTTTGCAGTCTAGGGTGGGTTAAACTCTTTTGGCAACCTACCCACGCGCACCCAATTGCCATCCACACAGATGCTGTTCCGAGTTTTCGTATGGCGGCTGGGTTGGTTGGGTCCTTGAGGACGGTGCCCTTGCTGTGGGCTGATGGGTATCGGAACTGGAGGGTCCATCTCAGACTCCTGGAACTGTCGGTGATGTTTAATGTGTTACCGAGCCTCATTCGGCAGGGGTGCTTGGACGCCCAGCGGGTGCTGGTGACAATCAAAGCCAACCTGCTAAAGACTTGATGATCCAAAGGTGGACCCCTTGTGGCCATGCACATGACGTGTGTGCACCACTGCTCTGGTAATAGGGCTTGGATCTCAGTGGATTGTTTCCCTCTTGAGTGCCACCAGTTCGCGGACGCACCCTTCAAGGGGCATGGCACTTTCGTTTGGCTGCTAAACCCTGCTTTGTTTGCACAACTGGCCAGACCGTGGGGTCACGAGGATAATTTGCAGTTGCCTTAGTCACATCGACAGCAGTCACCTAATGCTCCCCCTTACAATTTCACCAGATACTGACATGCGACAGGGTGCGAA